GATATTGCATTCTGCTTAAAAGATTTTGTTTATCATCAGGATCCAGTGGATTTTTTTATCCTTAAGTAGTACCGCTAAGCTTGTGTAGTATGGTTTTCGAATCATCATAATTATTTTCCTATCGAAAAAAGTCTTACGAATTTCTGTATGAAATGAATAGAAGATATTAATGATTGTGATGTCATTCTTCCCGTCAAGTCTCTGAAGCGAGGAATATTGACACATTTGTAACTTTTGCCTTAGAAAAAGAAATCTTCAGTATTGTATTATTTTGCCATCCGAAAAGGTTTAACTTTACTGAAAATGAGATATGACGCTGTACAGCAAACAAGTACTCCAGAAAATTTCCGTAAAATGGGTTCTCTTCAATTGGCAACGAATTTAGGTAGAATTGTTCCTTCAAAGAGAATATTTTTCATTGTATAATGGATGTCTTTGTAATGACGACAAGGTTTCAGTTGAAGAGTCTCAAAAATCTGTAGTCTGTCCATAATACCTCTGTGGTTAAGATTGTCAAGAGAATTTTTGAAGTCACAATGAAGCACTGAAAAAACGGAGTCATTTGGTGCTTGTGCTTTTCGAAATTCTATGATGAAAACAGCAGTACCTGGGATCCAAGAATTGGCAATTCAATAAAATCAAGAAATTTTCTTGAATTTTGTAAATTCCATGATTGTTAGACATATAAGTTTCTTCAATTTGCCTTTCTTCTAAATTTCGTTCATTTTCTTAAATTGTGAATTTCTGGATCCTAGGGATACCTCAAGGATTTTTCAACCTGGCTCATCCATCATTTCGAACATTCTGCTTGCTATGTTTTCGAATATCCCAAATTTCTTTTAAAAAACTTATGTGAGAGATGTAACGAGCAGCAATCTTCAAAAATCAAGAGTAAGCTAAGTTGAAAATTTCTCTAAATATCAAGATTGTATTTGTCGGACTGGAAGCAGTATTTGATGTCTAACTTCATTTTTACTCAGTGTATACGAGTTCAGATTGGTACTGACGATCACAGTTTTTCAAACTGTATCTCTGCTGAAAATATCATGAAAAACGATTGATCTTCTCTCGAAGTTTCATATATCCAGGGACTTCTGGCCAGCAATGTATCTTTGAATTGAAAATGCTTTAGGGGTGGCAGTTTAACATTAAGAAAATCAAGGTTAAAATAGTTTTATCATCGAAGAATGGAAAATTTGTAGACTTCATAATTTTCTTAAAGGAAGACCATGTTTTAAACATGACAATATCTTATAAAGTTTGATCAAAGTTTTTCGAGGTCGTGGAATCTGAATTCCTTTTTAGTTTCCCAAAAGAAAATTAAGTGAGAATTTCGAGAAACGGATTAGAGATTTAGATTCTTTGATCCTAAAAACCTTTCCTCAAACTTTGTAAGATATCGTCATTTTTGGAAAAATAGCTCTTCTTTAAGGAAATTATGAAATCTACAAATTTACCATTATTTGATGATGTAACTATTTTAACTTTCATTTTTTTAAAATTAGAATGCCATCTTAGTAGCATCTGTCACTTGCTTTTTGTTGTTATTAGATAAGTAAAACAATTCCAGGTTTTCGTTTATTAAGTCACATTTAAACTAGATGGCAATCGGGTAAAAAAGCCAGATTACAAAATGCGGTGCGAAGCTCGAATTTCGGAAAATCGGTAACTTTGAAAAAACGAATAGTCACCTTTATGGATGAGTACGAAATATGTTTCTCTTAAGAACATTGTTCGTCTATAGAAATTTATTTTCTTTCGTTATCAATGTATACAGAAGAGTGCATTCTGATCAACTTCTCAAAGTTGAAAAGTAGATATGGCGAAATTTATTACTACGAGAACTCTATCGAGTGATCCATTAATTATGTATATGATTCATTATCTACTATCAGCTGACTTCACAGCAATAATAAACGGCTTCAGTTGTTCCAAGAAATTTGCGGCTAAATTGTTATGTTGTCTTCATTAAGGTGTGAAACATCTATTTTTTATTATCTCAATCATTAAAAAAAAATTCAGTCCACATAAAAATTTGTCATTTTGACGGGCTTTGTGTAAACAAACGGAATGATTGGATTCAGATTAAAAAACAAAAAGTATCGGTTCGATATCAATACTTTCATTTTTCGTTTAAATGACTCTTTTCTGATTCTCCGTTCTTGAGATCATTGCGTCATAAAAAGAGAATGTCGATGCATACGTCGTGATAGTAAAGAGGAAACTGGATGGTATCTCGACAATATCGAAAATGCGAGAAAAGATGCGAAACACGAATATCAACTATTTGAAATAATCAAGTTTCAAAGAAAAAACGAAGAATAGATTTGAGACTCAAAGTTGAACCATGTTTCGCTTCGTTTCTGTTTCACAAAAAGTAGTGGTTTCTATCGATCGTTATAACTGGAACATCTGGTAGTTTCCTCCATCACCTAATTCAAATTTGTCACAAACTGAAAAGTAGTCATTGTAGAATTCATTGCTGCGAGAACTCTAGTAAAGCCTGTCAACATTTTTCTAAATAACAATGTCGATTGATCTTTTAACCCTTTGAGTCCGGGTGTCCTATATATAGGACGCAGATTGTATAATTATATAATATTTATAAATACAAAAATTTACAATAAAAAATGTTTTTTTAACACAAAATTGAAAAAAAACGACTAAAATAGATAAAATACATTGTAATTTAAATAAAAAAAATTTATTGTATAATAGGACCCTCTATTTATAAATATTTAAACTGCGTCCTATATATAGGATACCCGGACTCAAAGGTTTAATTATCTATATAATTCATTATCTCTCATCAGCTGTACTTATACCTGTTGCGTATTTGAGAAAAGAGAATGGCGACTAACTTTGGTTTTAGTTATCTCGAAGCTTGAAAAAAAATTAAAGCCCTGAAACATTAGTCGTTTTCGGACGCTATTCATATGTGAACGAGACCTCCTGAGAAAAATTGAAATAAAAGAAGTTTTCGGTTCGATCACGATACTTCTATTTCCCGCTTGAATGAAAATTTTCTGACTTTCAGTTCTCAAGATCATTGCGACACAAAATGTGAAAAAAAACTTACATACGGTCTAGCTAGATATAAATAAAGAAAACTCGCGACGCATTACTATAAAGTGCTTTGTACCGCACTAAAAATGATCAACCGTGGTTCTATCAACCTCGGCTAGAGCTATCCTTGTAAAAGAAGTTCAGGATAAACGAAAGGGAGTGTACCATAGAACTCTTCTAAACATCTGGAACCACTTTTTATTTGGCGTGGCTCATTAAATTATATAAAACATTTTAATGGTTTCTGAATAAATTAATCAAACTTTAAAAGTTCTGGATCTTGGCTAAAACCCTCAAAAGTTCAGTAGGACTCCTTTTTGTTAGAGAGTAGAAATCGAATAAAAAATTCTATGATTCATCAAAAAAAAGGACTACATAGCTGTCAAAAATTAGCCACTGCTATCGGAAGAACATGGCGTCCTGAATGTGTTTGATATGGAGATATTGAATAGAGAGAAACTCTAGACAATATTTCTTGAAGAAGGACTTTTTTTGAAAACCTTTCCACGCTCTCATTATGTCTTATTTTCTTTCATACAAAGTTTATCGAGCTGGAGAAATAACGACATATTTGTGGTATGCTTAAAAAACTAAATATTATGACGTAAGTCTCAGTTAAAAATAAGCTTCTCAAATTTTGTATTATACATACCTTATATGCATTATATATCATTATTATGCACCATAAACATGTAAATATACATTTACACTGTTGTAAAATTTGTATAACAAGTTCGAACTATTACATCGTCATTTTATAAATGTTATATTGTTTTTCGTTTTGACTACTTCGTAACTATAGTGTTTACCGATTTCATTCAATCCGTTTAAAAGATAAAAGGAAAATATTGTCTGTATAAAACAGATGCGATTACAATACAGATGCTTGTTGAAAACACATGACTATACGGTCAATGTATTGGTCAATGTCTGAAAATTATAATATAACTAACAGATTTTTGCACATGTTCTACTTTTTTCCGGCGTAATATAGATAAAATAGGAAAATCCATGAAAAAATAAAACAAAACATAGGTTTTATAAGAAATATAGATCGAATCGCAGCTCAAAACTTTTATACTCAACGTCCTATGTGAATGATTCTATGATCCAACTATTCTAACAGCAAGGATCCACGGTCTACCATCATGACAAAATATCTCAGAATCTTGTGATGTTTAATTGATGCTCTTTTTCACACTTTGCCCATAGAAACAAACTGTCATAACAAAATTCTTTTTAACTTACTTGTCTTGTCCTATGTCGTGCTTTACAGCTCGACAAAAACGATTGGCTTCCCAAAATACCTCGGTAGATCAACATGGACTACGAAATATGTGTGCCAGCGTTTAAATAACATTATATATTGACTTCCATCCTGAAATTTATGTACATTCATTATCGTATTCTACAAAAAAATATTGTCAATTTTGTTCGTGTATTACTAGCAAGTGAGTGACGAAATTGAGACAGTTTAATATTTCAAATAAGAGTATAATGTACCATTATTTTTACTTAAATATCAGCACAAACATACGTAGTAGTATGTATGCCTAATGAATATCTGTACTTTCGTTTCACCTCTCATTATAGAACGTGTAATAAAAAATAAATGGTTAACCTTTGGACAATTCAAAACGCAAAAATCAGATTGCTTCTAATTGTGTAATTAGCATTCAGCAAAGATGCAGCTGAAAGGACACAGTTAAAAAAAACATTTGTTTTCTGTTTTCTTATCGAAATGTTTGATAAGCCAACCTTATCTTTCTAATTTTATTAATTTATTCACATAACCAGTAGTATGACTGAGATTTTTAACTCATCTTTCTAGTATAATGTTCCAGTCTAGACATGTCTCAGGTCAAAGATCCAAGGCAACGATCAATTGTCTAACTCGTTATTTCGAAGTCAATGAAGATATTCCCAAATTCAAAATGCCTGATCAACCATTAACCGAACAAGCAGCTGCGGCCATCATTCGCAGTGAACTAAGGCTCGATGGTAACCCTGATCTTAATTTAGCTTCATTTGTCACAACAGAAGTTGACCATGAATGTCAAGATTTGATGGTTGAGAATTTGAACAAGAATTTGGTGGATACAAGCCAATATGCGCACAGTAGCCAAATTCAAGACCGTTGTGTCAATATCTTAGCGAATTTATTTCATATATCTCTGGATGATTGTGAAGACGAAGGTGGAGCAGTAGGTACGGCTACTATCGGCTCCAGTGAAGCCATTTTGCTAGGTGGTTTGGCTATGAAATGGCGCTGGAGAGAAAAGCAAGCTGCAAAACAAGGAAAAAAGCCAGAGGAAATTATGACTCGATGTAATTTAATATTTAGTACTGCGTCTCATGTTTCTGTTTTAAAACTGTGTCGATACTTTGACATAGACGCTCGAGTCATTCCACTGGAGCACGATCGCTTTACACTGGACATCGATCAAGTTATCGCTCAATGCGACGAAAACACGTGTGGTGTGCTCGCTATCCTCGGCACTACGTTGACAGGCGAATTTGAAGACATTAAAGGATTGAACACGGCCTTGTTAAAGTTGAAGAATGAGAAAGGATTGGATATTCCTATTCATGTTGATGGTGCTTCAGGTGCAATGGTTGCTCCTTTTGTTTTTCCCGATCTCGAATGGGACTTCAGATTGGAGCAAGTGCGATCAATTAACACCAGCGGTCACAAATATGGATTAGTATTACCTGGTTTGGGCTGGATCGTTTGGCGTAGTAAAGAAGATCTTCCTGAAGACTTAATCTTCCATGTCAACTACTTGGGTACTGATGAAACAACGTTCAATCTCAATTTTTCGCGCTCTGCTGCTAATGTTATTGCACAATACTATCAATTCATACGATTAGGTATGGAAGGCTACACACGAATTATGCAATTATCAGTGAATAATGCAAAATATTTGGCTAAATCATTGAAATCAATGAGTGAAGAGTTGTTTATCATCTACAGTCAAAATGATAAGCCTTCAGTACCTATGGTTGCATTCTCATTCAATCCAACAAAAAATCTTAAGTTCAATGAAATCATCTTTGTTCATCGATTAAGAGAACTTGGCTGGATTGTACCTGCTTATACATTGGCTGCCAACGCCAACGATATCACTGTTTGTAGAATTGTCGTGCGTGAAACTTTCACTCGTATTATTGCTTCGATCCTTCTTGAAGACATTAGGTTCGTGTTGATTGATTTAGCTGATCATTATGGACATCAAGACTTGGTCGAATCATTAAAAGCACACCGTGATGAAAAACATTTACGTCGACGATCGAGTTGCTATGATGAAACACTACTGAAAAATATGCGATCCAAACATGAGACAAATGAAGATTATATCAATGGAAACAGAGTTGAGAACAGTAGCAAAGAACAGAAACATAGACGTCGCACAGTGCACATCATCTGCTAATCATTATATGTTGAAGAACATCTTTTTTTCTCGATTAGTTAATATGCATACCGATTTTATAGTTTTCTTTACACAGCATATAATATTATGTTGTTTTTATTCTAAACCTCAAAACGTCTTCTTTTATTCTTACAAATACAATCAATCTTGATATTTCTTGCAGAAAAAAGAAAAACTTAGAGGAACTCTTCTTCTTAATCTGATATTAGAGAAGCTACAGAACCTGCAATTGTTTTCAACAAAGACGTAAAACTAAGCGAGGCAATTCAATGGAAATAGACTGTAAATGAAGATAAAAATAAATATATTTGTTTATTTTTATGGGTATGAGTGTGGCTTGGTGTGGATATTCTATTCTCTTAGAAGAAAGTCCACATCCACACTCTAAGAAAAGAGTGGCATTTAATCATCGAAACAATGTTTCTTTTTACGGTTGAAATTGTCGAAGTACAATCATAATAATGGCCATATAGAAAACTCACTGAAGTAGGGTGTGGGGTGGGTGTGCGGGTGTGGGTGAGTGTGCGTGTTAATCTTCAATTTATCCGGGAGCATTGCAACTCGTCATGATTTTTTTTCTGGCTTTCGTAACAAATTGACAGTACGGAAGCCCGTAACAGAGCTTTCGTAACGACAGAATCAGGGCTTTCGTAACAAAAAATCAGAGGTTTCGTAACAAATTTTACAGGGTTATCGTAACGGGTGTTTTGACATGTACCATTACAGAGCTCTCGCAACGAAAAGCATGTAATTTCTGCAAACTAAGTCCAGCTATCACCCTCATCCTCATTACGAAATCCCTGTTGCTTCGTTGCGAAAACTCTGCAACTCTTACGAAATCCCTGTATTAATCGTTACGATTGCACTGTAAATTTCGTTACAAGATCCCTGTATTTTTGGATATCCCTATTTTTGGTGTTACGAAAGGTCTGATTTTTGCTGTTTGTTCAATTCTTCACGTGACGAGTTGCAACCTTCTCATTTATCCACACCCATTCTACCCACACCCATACCCGCTATCGAAATATAAGGACTTGAAACAAAATGGCGAAAAAGCATTTTTTAAGATATGTGGAGAATCCAAGGGGGAAACACCGTACTTCTGTACTTTAAAGTACCTTAAAGTACTTCAAAGTACTTAAAGTACTTAAAAGTATCTTAAAGTACTTTAAAGTACCTTAAAGTACTTTAAAGTACTTCAAAGTAATCAAAGTACTTCAAAGTACTTTGAAGTACATTAAAGTAGCTTAAAGTACATTAAAGCACCTTAAAAGTACATTAAAGTACCTTAAAAGTACATTAAAGTATCTTAAAGTTGGGATGTCATTTTCCTGCTGATTTAATATAAATTTCAATTATGAGTAATTAATATTAAATTTCACTCATTTGCTTGTTATAATTTAGTAGATACAAATTAAATTATACTATTTTTTTTACAAGGTACCTAGGGGTATTTTCTATAACTTTTCATGCGCTATCTAGGGGCAGTCTTCGTATCTCTTTGAAGACTATCCAGGGGTAATCCTCTTGACTCTTCAAGGTCTATACTATAAGGGAATCCATAGGTCCTCAAGGCCTACACTATAGAGGTACTCTTAGATCCTCAAGCCCTATGCTATAAGGGAACCCTTAGGTCCTCACATGCTATACTATAGGGATACCCTTAGTCCTCAACAGCCATACTATAAAGGAACCCTTAGTAGGGATGCAACAGTGACGATCATTCACCGGTATACCGTCATCCTTTCACCGGTCCAAACCGCTAACCGTAGGTACGGTTACCGCTCTAACTACGATAACCGTAGGTACGGTTATCGGCCCATCTACGATAACAGTAGGTACAGATATCGGTCTAACTAAGATAACAGTAAGTACGGTTATCAGTGCAAGCTCGTTTTCACGAAGGAAAGAGTTTTTAAGAAAACGACTTTTTATAAAGGTTGACGAAAGTAAATCGGGGTCGAAGAATCCGAATCTGAAGTTAGTTTTTCGATCTGAGTTTTCATTGGTCAGAAAATGGACCAATCAGAAACGAGATTTTTTATTTTGAGGCTTTTCAACCTTTTGATAAAACTTTGCAAAAGGTTATCGATATCCCGGAATTTGAATCTGAAGTCCTTTTTTTCGATCTGAGCTTTCATTGCTTAGAAAATGGACCAATCGGAAATGCGCTTTTTTATATTAAGGCTTTTCGACCTTTCGATAAAACTTTGCAATATGTTATCGATATCCAGGGATCCGAATCTGAAGTCAGTTATGCTGTCTGAGCTTTCATTAGTCAGAAAATGGACCAATCAGAAACCAGCTTTTTTCCCTCGACTGAAAGGACGGTGATATGAAATAAATAAAGCTTGACGGACTCATAGCGAACGCCGAAAATATTTAATTGGCTGAACTGCCTGCCTGAAGAAACTTCATATATATTTGATATTATGGAGATTATCGGACCTATAATCACGCAAACGCATCTGAATGCGTTACTATCCCAATGACTGCGAGGTCACAAACTCATTTTATTTCATATGATCCTCCCTCCAGTGGAGGGAAAAAAGCTCGTTTCCGATTGGTCCATTTTCTGAGTAATGAAAGCTGAGACAGAAAAAATGACTTTGAATTGAATTCCTGCATCTGGTCACATATGCTTGATAGAATCAATCATTTGTGGTGATAGCGTCAATATACTATCATAATTATCATCATCACAATTTATTGTACTCAAGAAACAAGCATAGTTCTACATAAACTGCTACTTTCTATTTTTAGTTAATTTCAATAATTACATGTCATACTTCGTTTTGAGGTTTTTCAAATTGAATGAAAAGAGTTTTCATTGCATGACAAATACAACAAATAATATCAACTATTTGTTTATTAATAATTGAAATCAATTGACGTCTTTCTTCGATACTATAACCTCGACCATGCATAAATTTCATTTGTTTGAGAAATGTTGATCTATATTACAACATGAAATAAGTCAAGAATAATATGTTAATATATGCGAATTTACTTTCCTGCTTCAACGTTTCCTAAAAAACAATTCTTTCATTGCATAACTTAAGTAAAATGTGTCGGTACTTACCTAAAAGAATTGCTTTTCTTTTATGAAAATTTTGATGCTTTGGTTTAATTTCACCCGAACAACAGTCACAACAGTAACTTTTACAACAACGTAATGGAAATGATTTAAACATCGTTTGATCGATTGTTAACTAAAAGAAACAATGATTAATATAGTTATATTGATAGTGGCATTCATATATGTATGTGATCATAAAGAACATTTGTTGTTTGATTGCTTAATGATGTCTTTTACATACAATATTTGATTAGTGCTCTCTTATTTTGAATGACTAAGAAATCTAAAACCGACAGATTAGCAATGAGTTATAAAAGACAAAAGAATGAAAAAAAACATGTTTTCAATTGATATATATTTATGAAAGTACTGGTAAGTTGATGTTAAATGTTAGTATACTGATTTCGTTTTATTTTTGCCATCATAATCAGACGGATCATATTTCAAATTTAATACTTGAAAGTTCGTAGGATTAGACGATGAATGAATAAATATTGATTTTTCATGATTTCTTATTCGTTTTATTTCTCACGAAGTTGAAAATGAACTTCGAAACTTTAATTTAAAAGTGTTATATCATATCTAAGATTCTGACTCCAATGCTATAGACCATGTCTTTCTTAAGCCTGTAAAATGATCCAAAAAGTCAAGCACAAACTCAACTAAAGCAAGCTGATATCCGGTCGAAGTTTGGTTCAAGAGTATGACAAGCCCAGGTCAAGTGCACATCAAATATTGAACGAGAATCTGGAACTCTATGTCTACAAAAAAATAATCAAATCAAGACTCACCGATGAACATAAAAACAAACGAAAATGATTCGCTAAATTGGTCTTCAATAATTTTCGAAAAGAAGACACGATGCGAATTTTATTTTCAGCTAAAAAAGATATTCGATACTAACGGTATATACCATTTCCAAAACGAACGTATTTGGGCGATCAGGCGTGCTGAAGCAAATGAAAGAAGTAGCAATGAAAATGAAACGGAAGTTTCCTCAAAAAGTCATTTTCTGGCTAGATGTTTTCCCCAAAGAAGTGACACTCTTGCTCATCTTCGACCAAGACATAGTAGATCATGCTGAATATATTCGGAACGTTCTTCCAATAGCACTAGAATATGGACATGATATCTTTCGAGAACATTGGACATGTCAACAAGATGATACAAAACCTCACATTCATCACCTAACATGAAAATGGTGCCAGGATAACATTCCATCGTTCACAGATAAAGATTATTGGCCACCGAATAGTTCATATTTAAACCCATTGGACAATTCTATTTGAGATGAATTTGCACAAAATTATCAATCGGCAGAAAGTAATATCGAAAGATACGTTTGTTGAAGAAATGAAATGTGTAGTCAAAAAAAAATTCGACAAGATGTTGTTTTAAAAAGTTGTTCATCTTAAACTGTTCGTTTAAAGTATGTCTTAGAAAATAATGGATGTTACACATAAAAAAATAAATAATATATCATTTTGTAGAGCATGACAACTTATCTGTTTAAAAAAATCAATCCCAAACAAAATGAATGTTAAAAGCGATATCAATGAGATATCGAGAGATCCATTATTTTTAGGACACCTGCTAGTTCAATCCTCTTGAATTCACTTTTAAAAGAAGAATATAAAACAATAACATTTTACTTGAAAAACTTCTAACAAGTAGTGGCATATTTACTAGACAATTAGTCGATCAAGACTTAGAATAGCCATGTAACGACTGAATCGTATTTTTCATTTAAAATGATTCTATAGCAATAGCAATAAAGATTAGAATATCACAGAAGTAATTGCTCAGTATACAAATTTCATTTTTTTATTGTATATTTCAAGCTTTCAAATCAGTAATGTACAGTCTCTAAATTCCATATTCTCGAAATCACTAAAAAATTGGCGATTAATCGTAATACATC